TGCGCCACCAACAGTCTTGCTGCCGTTTAGAGTTAGGTTCAAAATCAAATTAGTCTCTATAACAGTACAATCAGTAACCTAACAAGAATAAGCGAGGGGTAAACCTTATCGTCTTTTTAAAAAATATTTTGCATAATCCACCATATTTCAGCCTTCCATCCTTCCCAGGTGGGTAAAATGAGGACCTGGATTGTTGTTGGGGGCGATATGCTGACTCTGTAAACCGCTTAGAGAGGGCTGAAAGCCCTATGAAGCGGTATATATAAGTCTAACTGCTATTGCTATTTACTCTGAATGAATTTAAATTCCCAGAACCTATATCTTATAGTACCAAAACACTTCATGATGGCCTGAGCATTTGTATATATTACTTTTACAAAATCTTGAATAACTACTGAAGTGCCAAATGATTGGAGGAGAAACAAAGTTCTCCCAATTTTCAAAAAGGACAAAAACAGAAACTAGTTACTTCAATCCTGATACTTGGGAAGTTTCTGGAATGTATTGTAAAGACAATGATGTTTTAAGTGCGCAGTCAGAGAGAGGATAGGGAGTCCTGGTTTGATAATAGTACCTGTCCAAAATCATGCTAGAGTAAGCAGTTGATTGCAGCCTAAACACAACACAGCAAATGTGATACGATTACAAAAAATGGTAAAGGCAATTTTAGGTTGCATCCAAAGAAATATAATTTCCAGTTCATCCTAATCATAACACTACTCAGATCTCACTGTAAGTGCTAAATCCAATTTCGAGCACCATGCTTTAATAATTCAGACAAACTGGACAATGTTCAGAGAAGGGCAACAAGGATGACAAGGAAACTAGAATTAAGTCCTATGAAAAGATATACAAGGACATATTTGGCTCTGAGATGGCTTTTGTATTCCAGCTTGATTTTCAAACACCTAAAAAGATGCACGGAGAAAGTAAAGATTTTTATGATTCCGAAATGTAGAAGACAGAATAGTTAATCTAAATTAAAGACTTCAGCTAAATATTAGGGGAAGACGCCTCCAATAATATGACAAATGCCACAGTGGAATCAATTACCAAAACAGATGGGGGATTTTTCTCATTAGAGACTGGATAGTCATTTTTGCAAAAATTATTTAATTTCCTGCACTAACTTCATGGCTTAAATGAATGTATCAAAACTAGGATGCCACAATTCTCTCATTCAAACTCGGGGGGACGGGGGGGGGNTTATAAACAAACATAATCTTGGACCTAAAAAAAAACAAACCCCAGAAGATGGAAATTCCTAAAGAAGGAAGTGGTTACTCAAAAAGTTTAATGCGGCTTGAATACAGTAAGAGGATAGATCACAAAGCAAGTCACATAGGCCAGCATAGCAGAGCTGGTGCAGGTAAATGAAAACTCAGAGATTAGCAACAGATTGTAATAATTAAAAAAGGCTTTGTGAGAAGACAATACTCATTGATTCCACTTATCCGTCACATCATTCACATGCAGTTTAGCTTTAAAACCATGGGCAAGGCGAGAGAGAATTTAGCTCTGCATAGCATGGGACTCAGGTTGCCGCCACGGTTAAATCACTCTGTGGATCTGAGGAAATTTCAAACAATAAACTGGTTGGCAGTCAGGTGAGCCAATAAAAAGAAAAGGCTTTTATATTTTGAGTAGTTATGGCCTTGCCAGCGGCAGTTAGTTGGCCAAGTGGGGAACAGTTGAGGCCACAGCAAACTCAGCTTACACAAGGCTCCAGTTGGGACCAGCTAGGTCACCCTTGCGGAAGGTGAGAGGTATTCAACTAGTAACTAGTCACAAGTACAATCCAACAGCCTTTTAGTCCTGCTTAGCAACTGGGAGCATCCACTGACAAGTGATGAAGAAGGGGATATTTAAGGGAAATAAAGAGCTCCAAGAAGTCACTTGATATAGACCCCAAAGATTGGAAGATCCTTAGAATGTGTAGCCTTAATAATATTAAATAGTAGCCTACTGTACATGAGAAGGAATAAGGTAGAGAGAAGAAAAGAAATAAATACATAGCTGCTAGCATGGCGAAAGCCAACTTCTCTAAAAATCAGGTGCTCACTCAGGTGGCAGCTGTGGCAGCAAAATCAGGTGGCAGCTATGTAGGTACCACAGAAAACTCTCTTAGTCTAAAAGTTCAGGTGCAAGAACATCCTGAAGTAGCAGGCTAGTTATCTCCATAACAAATATCCAGTGGAATTAGGCAAGCTACCTGCAAGAGGATATCCTGGTTAAGTTTATCATCCTTCATGAATAGCAGTAAACTTTAACTTCTCAGTAAGAAATGCAGTCTGGGAAAACAGCCAAGAGTGAAAAGACCCAGATAGAGATGAACAGGTGCAAGTTTGGAACTTTTCCCAGAAAGTTCGTTCAAAGTGGAAAAGGAAAGTTAAAAGCCTTCTTCACATCTTTATAACAGAAGAGAAAGAAAGTTTAACTTAGAGCTGGTCTGTGTATTGCCTGAATTTTTGTCCCATCCTGAATCTGTGACAGGTTCATCTATTGTCAGAATAAAAGGAAAAGAATCAATAAATGAGCAGCTCAGCAAGAAAGACAAAATACTGGCAAGTAACAAAAGAAGATCGCTCTAGTCAATTCTTATTTTGGTTCACTTTTCTTCAACAAAAACTTTGTGTTCCACAAGACAATGTGAAGGGCAGGAGAAAAGGAGAAAGATTTATAGAAATATAGTTAGGGATTGCTTTTTCTGAATGAAGTCCATTCTCAGAGACCACGTGAATTGCATCCTAAGTTACTGAAGCAGAGGTGGGTTCCTACCAGTTCGCATCTATTCGGTAGAACCGGTTCGTCAAATCTACCGAACTGGTTAGAAG